TGAGAAAGCTGAGCGTGCGAACTTGGCAGCATGCTTAGGGTTTTGGTCAGTGTCCCAAGAAGGCGTAGAAGGGTGAAAAGGAAAAGTGAGGGTTTGCGATCAGAGCTCAGGAGGCAGGCTTAGCAGTGAAGATCTGCACGCATCTGCTTGCTCTTTATTAGTGTCTTTGCAACCCGGTGGTTTGTTTTGTTTTTTCAGGTGTTCAATATCTACCTCTTTAGATCTTCCTCATCTTGCCGTTGTCTTTTTCTATACTGGCTTGATCCTTGGTTTTGAGTTTTCTGCTTTTGTTTAGCCTGAATCCTAGGTCTTAGTCTTCCCTGTTCCCTCTTGGGTCGCAGCTTACCTAGTCTGTGGGTACTTTTACCCACAGATCATCCAGCTGACTCCTGTGCCTGTGAGCACACCAAGCGGCCTGGTGCCACCCCTGAGTCCAGCCACGCTCCCTGGACCCACATCACAGCCTCAGAAGGTCCTGTTGCCCTCCTCTACAAGGTGAGCCAAACTAAGCCCTTTCCCTCATTCCAGGCCAGACCTAGAGTGCGGTGGGGTGGCATGGGATAGGATGGGGTGTGGTGAGGCTGGGCCAGTCCACTTCACTCCTCCCCTTTCCTCTCCTGTGGCAGAATCACCTATGTGCAGTCAGCAGGTGGGCACACACTGCCTCTGGGTACCAGCCCTGCATCCAGTCAGGCTGGAACAGTGACCTCCTATGGCCCCGCCAGCTCCGTAGCACTGGGCTTCACTTCGCTGGGGCCCAGTGGTCCTGCCTTCGTACAGCCCCTGCTCTCAGGTGAGGGCAGGCCTGCTAGGCAGGGCTAAGAACCCAGGGTGGGGTTGAGACATCTTCAGACCCTATCTCGGTTCCCTGTTTCATTTTCTCTGTCTTTCAGCAGGCCAAGCCCCACTGCTGGCTCCTGGCCAGGTGGGCGTGTCACCTGTGCCCAGTCCCCAGCTGCCTCCTGCCTGCACAGCTCCTGGAGGTCCCGTCATAACAGCATTTTACCCTGGCAGCCCTGCACCCACCTCAGCACCTCTGGCCCCACCTTCCCAAGCTCCTCCAAGCCTGGTCTACACTGTGGCCACCAGCACCACCCCACCTGCTGCTACCATTCTGCCCAAGGGCCCACCAGCCCCTGCCACTGCCACCCCAGCCCCCACTAGTCCTTTCCCTAGTGCCACAGGTGGGTGTCGCAGCAGCAATCTAGGGCAGGGTTTGTGTGAGTTAGGGAAATCTAGGGAATGGGTTTCAGTGAGTCCTGACTCAGCAAATGTTCTTTTCCCTACCAGCAGGCTCTATGACCTACAGCTTAGTGGCCCCCAAGGCCCAGCGGCCCAGCCCAAAGGCCCCCCAGAAGGTGAAGGCGGCCATTGCCAGCATTCCTGTGGGTTCTTTTGAATCAGGTGCCATTGGGCGGGCTGGCCCTACACCCCGGCAGCCTCTGGAGTCTGGCCCAGCCCGAGAGTCAACTGCCCAAGAGTCAGAGCTTGAGGGGCAGCCCACACCACCCCCTCCACCACCCCCAGAAACCTGGCCTCCCACTGCCCGGAGCAGCCCCCCACTACCCTTGCCTGCTGAGGAACGACCTGGCACCAAAGGCCCTGAGCCTGTGAGTATATAGCTGGCCGTGGGGCTCCCTGTGCTGGACTCTGCCTGCTGCTTTATTTTTCTGCTCTCTGTTTCCTTTCATGTCTCTGTGTCTCCTGCCTGCCTGTTACATCCCCTTCTGTTTGGGGCCTGCATCCTGGACATCTTGTTCCCCTAAGGGCATGGAACTAGCCAAGGGTCTGTCTCATGTTAGATTTGTCTTATTTCTGATGATTAGCCTGGTGGATATTTTTTTTCCTCTTTGATACTGGGTCTCACTCCGTAGCCCAAGCTGGTTTGATACTCATGGCAGTCCTACTGGGTGCTGGGATTACAGGCTTCAGCCACCATGCCTGCTGTTTGGTTTTGATTTTTTTACCTCATTGCGTCTAAACCCTGTGTTCTTGCTGGTCCCCATCCCAGGCCAGCAAATTCCCCAGCTCATCTTCAGACTGGCGTGTCCCTGGGTTGGGCCTGGAGAGTCGTGGGGAGCCTCCCACTCCTCCCAGCCCAGCTCCAGCTCCAGCCACAGCTCCTGGTGGCAGCAGCGAGGGCAGCAGTGGGAGGGTGGCTGGGGACACACCCGAGCGCAAGGAAGTGGCTAGTTCTGGCAAGAAGGTGAAGGTGCGGCCCCCACCTCTGAAGAAGACCTTTGACTCTGTGGACAAGTGAGCAGGGGCTTGGGGCTTGGTGGAATGTGCTGGGTTGACGGGAGAAGGGACTGCTGCAACCCAGGGCCGGGGGGGTGACTCTGCTGGCCTTCCAGCAGGGTCCTGTCAGAGGTGGACTTTGAAGAGCGCTTTGCTGAGCTGCCAGAGTTTCGGCCAGAAGAGGTGCTGCCCTCGCCCACCTTACAGTCTCTGGCCACCTCACCCCGGGCCATCCTCGGCTCCTACCGCAAGAAGAGGAAGAACTCCACTGGTAGGCGAGCACTGGCTCCTGAGTAGGTGGGGGGAACACCTGGGGGTTACCTCCAGTGAGCTGAGCCTGCTTTTGTTTGGCCAGACTTGGACTCGGCTCCTGAGGACCCCACCTCACCCAAGCGCAAGATGAGGAGACGCTCAAGCTGCAGCTCGGAGCCCAACACCCCCAAGAGTGCAAAGTGCGAGGGGGACATCTTCACCTTTGACCGCACAGGTGCCAGTGCTCTGAAGACCCAGGCCCATAGGCTTGGTGGTGTCATGAGGGTAGTAGGGTGAGACAGCCAGTCAAGGGTAGGTCTGGAGTCCCCAATAGACCATGTAATCTGGGGCCGGACCCTTCTGTGACCCCCCAATGTGAGCCAGAACTCAGAGGCTTGGCGGGCACTTTGATGCCAGCAAGGGAGTATTGGGTCTCTGCTGCAGCCTTGACTGAGCCCTCTGTGCCTGAGCAGGTACTGAAGCTGAGGATGTGCTTGGGGAGCTGGAGTATGAGAAGGTGCCCTACTCATCACTGCGGCGTACCCTGGACCAACGCCGGGCCCTGGTCATGCAGCTCTTCCAGGACCATGGCTTCTTCCCATCAGGTAAGCAGGTCTTTGGCTTTTGGGAGTCACTCATGGGACCCATGCACACATCTTACCATGCCTTCACTGCTTTTCTGTCCCCAGCCCAGGCCACAGCAGCCTTCCAGGCCCGCTATGCAGACATCTTCCCATCCAAGGTGTGTCTGCAGTTGAAGATCCGTGAGGTGCGCCAGAAGATCATGCAGGCAGCCACTCCCACAGAACAGCCCCCCGGAGCTGAAGCCCCTCTCCCTGGACCACCCCCCACTGGCACGGCTGCTACTTCTGCCCCCACTCCCAGCCCTGCTGGGGGCCCTGACCCCACCTCTCCTGGCTCGGACTCTGGCACTGCCCAAGCTGCCCCGCCACTGCCTCCACCCCCAGAGCCTGGGCCTGGACAGCCTAGCTGGGAAGGGGTCCCCCAGACCTCCCCTCCTCCCTCCGGCCCCTCCACAACTGCCACAGGCAGGTGAGGGGCCCTTGAAAAAATCCCAGGAACCCACTGTACTCCCCCTACTCCCACAACATGGACAGTATATAGGTGGCAGGAATTGGGGGTGGGAAGGTGGGATAGTGACCTCCCCAATAAAGCCATTTCGTCCTTTCCAGTTTGGGACGGAATGAAGCCTGTTCCCTTTGTATATACTTCCTCCCTCCAGCTCCCTCCCTGTGCTGGGGGGCAGCTGAGAAGAAGCAGGGACACAGTCTCCCTCCACTGAGCCCCTGTACATAACCTGGAGTTTGTGACCTTCAGAGCTTTTCACTTGTACTTTATGCAAAATGGCTCATGTGAGGGCTGCAAGCTGGAGGGTAGTGTGAGCCTTGGGCCACAGGGAAATGCCTGTGGAGTAGGGGGGAGTTCATGCACCCCCTTTTTCCCCAGAGGGGCTGGACTCAGGTTAGTTTGGGGTGGGGGGGCTCCTGCACTTTGCCACAGGCATGGGGAGGATTCTCCCCACCCTCTCTGCCCTCCCAACTTGGGTTGTACTTTCTAAGAAGGTGATTCCCCCTACCATTGTCCCCATCCCCAGAACAAAACATGTTGATCATGTGCAATATTTCTTACTGTGCCGAGAAGCCGCAATGACCGAGAATTAAAGCTGTTTAACACACCTGTGTGGCTGCTGGCTTCCTCTCAAGTGGGAAGGGTGTTGGTTCTGAGTCCTGTCTCCAGGTGAATGTGGAGTAGCATACTTTTCACAGGGTAGATCAATTCTAAGACTACCCCAGCACTGAAGGGATTCAGTTGACCTTGGGCCCTGCCTTTGAGGTAGCCTGTGCAGTCTGCGTTTGATGCCCATCTATCTGCCTGACCACCCAACGTCAGCTTGGGGAAGGATTGAGATCTTGTGCTCTGAGAAAGGCAGACTACCCCTTTTCAAACATTCCAAGACAGCACCTGAGGCTGGTTCAGGGCATTGGGCTGCCTCAGTGACCCCTGCTGCTCCCATATGGTCTGAGCCAGCACTGGGGGACGGGGGGCATGTAAGAGGATGAGCACCCCTGAGATACAATTAATTCATAGCCTGTGTGGAGGCTAGTACTGGAAGTGGAAAGGAAGCGGAAAGGGGGCCCATAAGGTCAGGAAGCACCACCTAGGGGAAAAGTTATGTATCAGCTGGGATATGTCTGAAGGGACAGCTCAGTGGTGGATTTGACTGTTGGGACACTGTTCCTGGGATTACTGATAGACCTTGATTCTAACAGGGTAATGATGGCAAACTGGTTTCACCCAGTGTTTACTAATTGGAAGCACTTGCCCAAAGCACACTATTGTGATAGTGGAAATTCACTTGACTACAAGAAGCAGAATGCCCTGATAGATTAATGATGTCTGCCTCAGGCAGAACTAGAACCACCCTGAAAAATACAAGGATTTTACCATGGTACCCAGACAGGCTGAGTAATAAAGCAGGAAACACAAAGTGGAAGAAGGAAGAATTTAATGTGGGAAGGCAGATGCTTAGGGCGTGGCCTCCGGCAAAGGGACACCTTGGCCCTGGTCTTGAGCCAGGAGACGAAGAAGCAAGGAGTGCAGGGCCCGGCAGACAGGGGTGTATCCCAGGCGGCTCAGATGCAAGTAGTCGTACATGTCATGGTGGCTTATGGTGCCATCAGAGTGCACGAAACCAGGATCCGCATCCAAGAAGTGGGCCCGTGGGTGGCCAGCAAGTGCTGCCCGTACCAGCTGGTTTACCTGTTGGTTCTTCTCTCGAAGTGGGTTAGGGTGCTGGCCCCTTGGAAGCAGGCCCTGAGGAGGCACACCAGGATTCTTGTCATTATCAGCGTCTTCTTTGTGCCAAACTGTCCACTCCCCCACCATAAAGTTTCAGCTGCAAAATATACTAGGGATGTGAAAGTAGGGAAGACAGATGGATAATTCCTGATAATCCCAGCTCCCATTCAATGAGAACTTTCCAGATGTCAGCGTTTTTCTGAATATTGCTCATTAAAGACATCATGACGATGGGTCAATGGTCTCTTTCAAAGGAGGAAATATCCCAGTTAAGAGTTAGGAAGCCTAAATTCACCCAAAGAAGGCCTGGTAACTTCTGGAGTCTTTTAGCACCCTCAGGATATCCGCCATTCCCTTGGGCAACAAAGGCTACCTGGTCTCCGAACACATCCTCCACCCTTCTGGGTGTAGCAGTTTTCTATCAGAGACTTTTAGAAACTTTTCTGGAAAGTCACTGCACTATGCCAGGTACAGCTACATCTAGGGGGCTCATAACACTGTCATGTTTTCCTTTATTTTGAGACAGGGTCTTGCTGTGTTGTCCAGTCTGGCCTCAAATGCCATAATGATCCTCCTGCCTCAGCTTCCAGAGTGCTGGGATTATGGGTGTTTGCCACTTTACTCAGCTGCCACTCTTCCTTTCCCACCCTTCTAGCCTCTCTCACCAGCACCACCACTCGGGCCTGGGGCTGCAGTTTGTTCACCAGTTGCACGATGGCTTTGATGCCGCCAGTCACCTGCTCTGCTGTGTGGCTGTGGTTGTTGGTGCCCACCCAGACCACCACAATCTGCGGAAAGAGTGGTACAAAGAGTGGTGGTAAAGAAGTAGGCAAAAGGTGTGTTAGTTAGCTCGCCACTCAAGCCCTGCTCACCTTGGGCCGGATGTGTTCTAGCTCCCCATTCTCCAGCCGCCAGAGTACATGCTGTGTGCTGTCACCACCAATGCCAAAGTTAAGTGCATGTAGAGGAGAGAAGAGCTCCCGCCAGATCTGTGGATAAGAAATGATGTAGGCACCCTGGGGCATCCTCAGTACCAGCCAACACCCTCTGTCCCGGCGTTAACCAAATGCCACTACTGAAAGAGCCTTGGTTTATGGAAGCAGTCTGGTTAAATCTCACCTTGAGCCAACCCCAGTATGGTAGAACCTCATTTCATGGAAACCTATTAGAGTCTCACTTTATTAACCAAACTCAAACAGACGTTAGACTCACTTTATGACAATCTCATCTGCTTGAGCCATACACGGAATCAAAACAGCAATACAGCTGACTGAACCTTACTGTGAGGAAAGCCATTATGACTAAACCTTTCTAAGTGGAAAGATATTATGATTGACTCTCTTTGCAGAACACCGTTACAACTGACCTTTGCTTTCTGGAAAGCATTATAGCTTTGTGTAAACCTCGAAGGGCTTGGTCTACTTTAAGCAAACAATAAAGGGCCTCACCTTAGGGCATTCTTGAAAGAAAGCCTCATTTTAAGTCTTGGTATACACAAGCCCAACCTGACAAACTCAGGGCACACACTTCATCCTCTGATGAATGCTGCATTTAGACCGAGACTCTTAGTATCCAGACGCATTTTCCTTCCCCCTGCCTTGTGTGGTGGTTTGGGTTCCGGGCTCAAAGTGTCAGTGAGGAGGTCGGAAAGGCCTTACCTCACACTGGTGCATTAGCTGAACCAAGGAGTCCCCGATGAAGACGACTTCGGGTTCCTTGTCTTTGCTGTCCGCCACGAAGCGATGGTGCTGCAGGGAGAAGTCAATGGCACACCCAGACTCGACGCCCCGCCCCGCCCCGCTCCCTCGGGCAGAAACACCCGGATGGCCTTTAGGCTTCCCATCCAGGTTGAGGGAAGGACGCCACGACCCCGGCGGTTCCCCGGAAGCCTTCCCACGCTCCCACCCGAGTACCGCGGGCCGGCTCCCTCACCAGCGACATCCAACGCCCGTCTCCCTGCGCATCCTGCACCGGCGTGGGCTTGCTGGCTGGGTTGTCCTCCCCGCTCATCGTGACTCTGCAGCCCCTGTGGATGAGACCGTGGGGTCCGCCTGGGGATGCTCGCGGAGGTGGCCCCGCCACGCCCTCCTCCGCCCGCCACAATGGACGGTTCCGAAGCTTGCAAGCTCCCCAAGAAGGACCCACAGGGCGCCACCTCCTTTCCTGGAGTGGAAACCTTGACTTAGGAAGGAGGTGGAACTGGATACTCTCGGCTCCCCCACGGAGGCCGCGCAGTGGGCTCGTCCGGCGCTTCCCGCCGGGACCACTCGGTGGCTGGCGCACCCCGGCCCTGGAGGAGGGGCAGGCTAGACCATCTGGCGCCCGTGGCAGGGGAGGACAACGAGGGAGGAACCACCCACTGGCGTCACGGGGAGGGGCAGTGTACCTGAAAAGCTAGGCGTGAGCAGGGAAACTAGCGCTCTTCCTGGGAGAAAGGAACCATTAGCTGTAGGGCCAGAAAACTCCGGAAGGGCCCATCTACGGGTGTGTGTGTGTGTGTGTGTGTGTGTGTGTGTGTGTGTGTGTGTGTGTGTGTGTGTGTGTGTGTGTGTGTGTGTGTGTGGATGCATGCACACACACACACACACACACACACACACACACACACACACACACACACACATTGTTACACTAATAGAAGGCTCAAGAAATGACTAGTCCTGACACAGTATGGCTTACAAAGGCAGTCATCTCACCATTCTCCTCAAAGATGAAACATTTCAAAAAAAAAAAAAAAGCAAAGATCAGTGTTATAAAGTCTACATATGATGATCAGAATAGGAGAATAAAAATGATGTAAAAAATAAAAGCCATAAATAAATCACCTAACACTCTTTGGTTTGGAGATATGAAAACAATGAAGCTGTGAGCCAGTGCGGGTCCCCACAGGTCCGTGTGTGATCTGGTCCATGTTGCTGAAAGAGTGAATGGACTGTTTTGAGACAGGGGATCTCCTTGTATCCCCAGCTGGCCTGGAACTCACTGTGTACACCAGGCTGGCCTCGAACTCACAAATATCCGCCTGCTTCTGCCTCCCAAGTGCTGGGATTAAAGGCATGCGCCACCACACCCGGCTTTTATTTTATTTTTTGGTCTTTTTGAGACAGGGTCTCCCTGTTGCTCCAGCTGTCCTGGATTCACTATGGGGACCAGGCTGGCCTTGAACTTACAGAGATCTGCCTGCCTCTGCCTCCTGAATGCTGGGATTAAAGGCGGCACCACGCCTGGCTCCAGCCTTTATTTTATATTTTATTTTTTTGTCTTTTTGAGACAGAATCTCCTTGTATCCCTAGCTGGCTGACCTGGAACTCTCTATGTAGACCAGGCTCTCCATCTCACAGAGATCCACCTGCCTCTGGGTCCCCAGTGCTGGGGCTAAAGGCACGTGCCAGTAGGCCTGGCTAGCACTAGGTTTTTTAATGGCACAAAATCTCAACTACCTATCTTTATGCATTCAGGGCACCAAAGGATCTATGCGGGAAGGTAGAAGAAGGTACAGAAAGAGAACAGAAATTGGAGATGGCTGCAGGACCCAGCCCAGGTCCAGCCTGGCATCCCTTCCACAGATCATCTTGCACATCTGTGGCCTCTGCTCCCCTCTCTAAATACAAAGTTCCACCAACAGCTTCAGTTGAGTGGGTCTGGACTCTGAAACCCTTATCCATAGCCAAGGCCACTTAGGGTCATACCCTTTCTTCCCTCTGCTCAAATTAATCTCAAACCCCAGTGTTTCTCAGATCTCTGGGGTCTCTCCCCTAAATGTCCTAGTTATTTTCCTGCAGCCTCACCTCCAGGTTGGATCTTCCCATTTTATCCATTCCTTCTGGTTAGGTGGATACAGAAACAGAGATGAGTTTTACTTATTGAGTTCATATTCTGTCTCAATCCATTTCCCAGGATCTGGGCCTCGTGTATAGTCACTATTGGACAAGTACAGTACCTGCTGAAAAACATTGCATGAATGGGTTAGATCCTGGCTTTATACAAGTGTTGGGGAGATATGACCCCAAAAGCCCAAGGACTTTGAGGGCTTAGGGTTTTTCAGAACAACAATTCTTTTTAAACTTTTTTTTGGTTTATCTATTTTTATTTTATGTGTATGAGTGAGTGTTATGCCTGCATGTATGTATGTGCACCTGTGTCATGCAGTGCCCTAGGAGAACAGAAGAGGGCATCAGAGCCCCTGGAACTGGAGTTACAGATGATTGTTAGCCACCATATTGGTGCTGGGATTTGAACGTGGGTCCTCTGCAAGAGCAGCCAGTGCTCTTAACTGGTGAGCCATCTCTCCAGCCCCAAGAACAGGGATTTATTTTATTTTATTTTATTATGTATGTGTATGAGTGTGTTGCTTGCTTGTAGGTAGGTGCACCCATGTTGTACGGTACCTGCAGAGATCAGAAGAGGGTGTTGGAGTCCCTGGAGCTGGAGTTACAGATGGTTGTTGGTCACCATGTGGGTGATGGGAATTGAACCCGGGTCCCCTGCAAGACCGTGCTCTTAACCACTGAGCCATCTCTCCAGCCCCCATTATTTTATTTTATTTTGAGGCACCGTCTCATGTAGATTGGGCTGGCCTGAGAATGACCTTGAACTATAAATAGGGCTTCTTAAACTTTCTCCACTTGAGGTCCCTTTTTGTCTGGTAAATCTTTATATATATATA